TTTTTTTTGAGATGGAATCTCACCCTGTCACCCAGGCTAGAGTGCAGTGGCACAATCTCGGCTCACTGCAACCTCCGCCTCAAGTGACTCTCCTGCCTCAGCTTCCTGTGTAGCTGGGACTACAGGCACACGCCACCACGCCCGGCTAATTTTTGTATTTTTAGTAGAGATGGTGTTTTATCACGTTGGCCAGGCTGTTCTTGAACTCCTGACCTCAAGTGATCCACCTGCCCCAGATTCCCAAAGTGCTGGGATTACAAGCGTGAGCCACCACACCTGGCCCATTGGTCCTTGACTTCTAAGCAGATGGTGAAGGTGAGACTCACAGAGCTGAGACTCACAAGGCTGTGAGTCTCAGCTTCACCATCTGCTTAGAAGTGAAGGACCAATGGGCCGGGTGTGATCTGCACACTGCTAATGGATTTGAATTCAGTTCTTCTGATTCCAGAGTTGTGCTACGCTATGTGAATTGTGGACTGGAAGGACCTGGGGAGGGGGTGCAAAAAGCAGGAAGCAGTTCAGGTGTGGTGGCTTACCCCTGTAATCCCAGCACTTTGGGAGGCCAAGATGGGAAGATTATTTGAGGTCAGGAATTCAAGGCCAGCCTGGGCAACATGGCAAAACCCCATCTCTACTAAAATACAAAAGTTAGCCAGATATACTAGCATATACCTATAGTCTCAGCCACTAAGGAGGCTGAGGTGGGAGGATTACTGGAGCCCAGGGGGTTGAGGCTTCAGTAAGCTGTGACCGTACCATTGCACTCCAGCCTGGGTGACAGAGTGAGACCCTGTCTCGAAAAAATAAAAAAGGTGTGAGGCAGCCCCTCAGCATCACACGGAGGCTCCAGGCCCAAAGGGCAGCCAGCCCAAGCTGGGATCTGGGCCCCAGAAGCAGTTCTGCCCAGCTGGTTCTTAGACCTGGGACTCGTTAGTTCTAGGGCTGGTGTGGAGGCAGCCCCCTCCCCCTCAGCTCCTAATACTTCGTGCTCCCCCTCCTAGGCAGGTGATGCTGTTCCGGAAGGCTCCCCAGGAGCTGCTGTGTGGGGCCAGCCTCATCAGTGACCGCTGGGTCCTCACCGCTGCCCACTGCCTCCTGTACCCGCCCTGGGACAAGAACTTCACTGAGAATGACCTTCTGGTGCGCATTGGCAAGCACGCCCGCACCAGGTACAGAACTGGTGGCCTGTGGGTATCTGGCAGGGGTCTGAGTCCTCCAGAACGACCATGAGAGGACCTGGTGGCTCTGGGCCACATGGGATGTTCTGTACACCCCCCACAACATGACATCCTGGCAGTTTCTGCTGGAAAGTCCATTTGGCCATGTCCTGACTGAGCCTTGGAGCTGGAGGCAGACATCCCAGTCTGTCTCCTGGTTCCTCCAACACCAGGATATGGCCCATGTGGGAGTCTGAAAATAGAGTCTGTCTGGACTGGGGCATGCAACCTGTGCCCCCATCCCTGTCCACCCTGTTGACTGACTCCAAAGCCCTGCATGGCTTTAGGCCCAGGAAGAAACAGCCCGGCGGCTGCCATGGCAGGAGCCAGTCCTATCCCCTCCCTGATGGCCTGCAGGACACCCTGTTTCCCAGACCCCAAGGGCAGGCAGTTTCCTGCCCCTCACTAGGTGAACCTGCAGCTTCCTCATTTCTCTCTTGGGGTCTCTGCAGGTACGAGCGCAACATAGAAAAGATATCCATGCTGGAAAAGATCTACATCCACCCCAGGTACAATTGGCGGGAGAACCTGGACCGGGACATCGCCCTGCTGAGGCTAAAGAAGCCCATCACCTTCAGTGACTACATTCACCCCGTGTGCCTGCCCGACAGAGAGACGGCAGCCAGGTGGGCCACCAGATGCTTATTAGCTGGGGGGCAGAGCCTAGTAGACTTGCAGGAGTCCTTACCTCTTTTCCAGGCCTCAGTTTCCTAGAGTGAACCTAAAAGTTTTTCCAGGACTGGCGTTTTATTATTTAGTTAGTTTTTCGAGACGGACTTTTGCTCTATCACCAAGGCTGGAGTGCAGTGGCGCAATCTCAGCTCACTGCAAGCCCGCCTCCCAGCTTCAAGGGATTCTCTTGCCTCAGCTGGGATTATAGGCGTGGGCCACCATGCCCTGCAAATTTTTGTATTTTTAGTAAGAACTGTGCATTTCACTGTGTCAGCCAGGCTGGTCTTGAATCCCTGACCTCAAGTGATCTGCCAGCCTTGGCCTCCCACCGTGCTGTACCCAGCCAGCACTGGTCTCTGAGGAATGGCGTTGGGGCTAGGCGGCTCCTGTGGGGGTTGGCTCTCACCAGGCTCTTTGCCTTCCCCAAAGCTTGCTCCAGGTTGGATACAAGGGGCGGGTGACTGGCTGGGGCAACCTGATGGAGACGTGGACATCCAGTCATAAGGTGCTGCCCAGCGTCCTGCAGGTGGTTAATCTGCCCATCGTGGAGCGGCCGGTCTGCAAGGCCTCCACCCGGATCCGCGTCACTGACAACATGTTCTGTGCCGGTAAGTCTGCAGGGTGGGGCAGGCCCAGGGATAGGTGGGGCCTGGGCTGGGAGGACTGAGTTGTGCCTCCGTTCAAGCCATGTGACTTTGGGCCAGTTGCCTAACCTCTTCGTGGCTCAGTTTCTTCCTCTGTAAAATGGAGGTAAAAGTCTCTATCCCATAAGGTTATGGGAGGGTTAAATGAGGCAGCATAGATTAATATATTTGGCGTACTATCAGTCACTAGTGAAATGTTAAATGTATGTGAGCTCAGATAGCAGCAAGAGACTGCGGGTGGGGAAATGCCATTCATTCATGTAGTCGCTCAGCAAATATTTATGTATTATGTATCACGTTCCAGGCAGCGTTCTAGGGTATATGACAGGGACCCAGACCAACAATGCCTATGCCCTCAGCTTCCTTCCTAGGAGGAGGGTACGTCCATAAACAGATATGAAGCAGCAATCCCTGCCCGGTGCTGTGAAGAAAAATGGAGCACAGGGAGAGAGTAGGGGTGATGAGGTGATCTTCTAAACAGGGTGGCCAGATGAGGTGGGCAGATCACTTGAAGTCAAGAGTTCGAGACCAGCCTGGGCAACATGTCTCTACTAAAAATACAAAAATTAGCTGGGCATGGTGGCACAAGCCTGTAATCCCAGCTACTAAGGAGGCTAAGGCAGGAGAATTGCTTGAGGCTGGGAGGTGGAGGTGGCAGTGAGCTGAGATCTGGCATTGCTGCACTTCAGTTTGGGCAACAGAGTGAGACTCCATCAATCAACCAATCAATCAATCAATCTGGTGGCCCAGAGAAGGTTGGAGAAGGCCTCCATGAGAAGGTGATGTCTGGGCATGGACTGGAAGAGGGGAAGGAAGGAGCGAGCAGGCATGTGTAGGGGAGGAGCCCCACAGGCTGGGGGTCATGGCAGGCACAAAGGCCCTGAGCTGGGAGCACGCTTGCCTTGTCTGGGGAGTAGCAGGGAGGCCTGGGGGGCTGACGAGGGGCAGCAGTGAGTGCAGGGAGAGAGGGGAGCAGGCAGAGGACCGGCACTTCCTTTAAGGGCTCACTCTTATTGAGTGAGATGGGAAGTTACGGAGGGGTTTGGGGCAGGTTAAGAACTGATCTGACTGACTTTAAAAATAAAAGATAAAAAAATGGAGTGTAATTTCAGACTCACAGAGAAGTTGCAAAAATAATACAAAGATTTCCTGTGTACTGTCATCCAGATTGTCCCCCATTCTGTGTATGTGTGGGAGTTTATATATATATATACGCATAGTTTGAGAGCAAATCGTGCATATGGTTCCTTTTTATCCATAAATACTTGAGTATTTCCAAAAAATTAAACCCAAGGATGTTCTCTTATATAACCACAGTACAAATATTAAAACCAGGAAATTTTTTTTTGACACAGTCTCACTCTGTCACCCAGGCTTGAGTGCAATGGCATGATCTCCACTCACTGCAACCTCCTCCTCCCGGGTTCAAGCAATTCTCTTGCCTCAGCCTCCCGAGTAGCTGGGATCATAGGGGTGCGCCACCACACCCAGCTAATTTTTGTTTTTGTAGTAGAGACATGGTTTCAACATGTTGGCCAGGCTGGTCTTGAACTCCTGACCTCAGGTGATCCACCCTCCTTGGCCTCCCAAAGTGCTGGGATTACAGACATGAGCCATGGTGCCCAGCCAAAACCAGGAAATTAATGCTACAATACTATTGTCTTTTTTTTTTTTTTTTTTTTTTGAGACGGAGTTTCGCTCTCGTTACCCAGGCTGGAGTGCAATGGCTCAATCTCGGCTCACCACAACCTCCGCATCCTGGGTTCAGGCAATTCTCCTGCCTCAGCCTCCTGAGTAGCTGGGATTACAGGCACGCGCCACCATGCCCAGCTAATTTTTTGTAGTTTTTTAGTAGAGATGGAGTTTCACCATGTTGACCAGGATGGTCTCGATCTCTTGACCTTGTGATCCACCCGCCTCGGCCTCCCAAAGTGCTGGGATTACAGGCTTGAGCCACCGCGCCCGGCCTACAATACTGTTGTCTAATCTATAGACCTTATTCAGATTTTTGTTAGTCTTGCTAACGTCTTTTATAGAGGGGGGAGAAAAAGCATTTTTCTCACCCAGGATTCAAGGAAGGATCTTTGTATTCTATGACCTTGACATGTCAGATGAGCACAGTCTGGTTATTTTGTACACTGGCCCTGGGTCTGGGCTGTCTAAGGTTTCCTCATGGTCAGGTTCAGGCTCAGTGGTGCCATGTCCTTCTCAGTGTGTCCTGTTAACTGGTACGTGAGGACAATTTGTCTCATATGCAGTGAACCTAACTTTGACCTCTTGAGGAAGGTAGTATCTGCCAAGTTTCTTGCTGTAACTTCTGCTTTCCCCTTTGTAATTAATAAGTGTTGGTGAAGAGATACTTTGATTTTTTTTTTTTTTCTTTGAGACGGAGTCTCGCTCTATTGCCCAGGCTGGAGTGCAGTGGCACAATCTCAATTCATTGTAACCTCCACTCCCCAGGAGCAATTCTCCTGCTTCAGTCTCCTGAGTAGCTGGGATTACAGACACACGCCACCACGCCTGGCTAATTTTTGTATTTTTAGTAGAGAAGGGGATTCATCATGTTGGCCAGGCTGGTCTTGAACTCCTGACCTCAGGTGATCCACCTGCCTCGGCCTCCCAAAATGCTAGGATTACAGACATGAGCCATTGCACCTGGCCTACTTTGATATTTTGTATTCTGTTTGTCATCAAAACCTTCTCCCAACTAGGGTGACTACCAAATACGGCTTTTCAAATTCTGTCATTCCTTCTACATTTGTTAGTTATTTTATTGCTTTCCTTTCATTCTATCAGTGTAGACTTAAGGATCCTTACTTTATTCTAAGGGTTTCCTTTTTTTTTTGAGATAGTTTTGCTCTTGTTGCCCAGGCTGGATGGAGTGCAGTGGCTTGATCTCTGCTCACTGCAACCTCCGCCTCCCGGGTTCAAGCGATTCTCCTGCCTCAGCCTCCCAAGTAGCCGATGGGCGCCTGCCGCCATGCCTGGTAATTTTTTGTGTTTTTAGTAGAGATGGGGTTTCACCACGTTGGCCAGGCTGGTCTGGAGCTCCTGACCTCAGGTGATTGATCTGCCTCGGCCTTCCGAAGTTCCGGGATTACAGGCGTGAGCCACCGTGCCTGGCCATACTTCCTTACTGTTGTTACTTCTTTTGATGCTCAAATGATCCCAAGTTTGGCCCTTCAAGCTGGCTTCTGTGACTTGGGGAGATGTCCTGTCACTCTTTGACTACTTTCTTACTGTTTGGCACAGCAAGATGTTTCGGGTTAATCCTGCCTTCCTGACTGTAGTGTTGGAACCAGCCATTTCTCCAGGGAACCCTGCTAGTGGAATTTACAACCGCAATCTGGGTGCTGGCGTGTGCACATTACTGGTGGGATGTCATTACTTCTAGGCTCTCTCAGTGGACAGAACCAGAAAAGAATTATGTGATGCATACAACAACATCTCTATCTATCATCTGTATAAAAAACCACAAGTTCCTACTGAAACCTTCAATTCCAATCTAACATCACTGGATTCATTTTAACTTTTCCTCTTCCTTATTTGTAATTCTCTGTTGACAGTAAGAAACCTGACTCCGTTATCTGTAATGCATTTACTTTGTTGAGCAATACTAGAATACACAGTTTCAGAATCCTCCATCCATAGCACTATTAAATACAATCCTGGCTGGCGTGGTGGCTCACACCTGTAATCCCAGCACTTTGGGTGGCCGAGCCAGGTGGATCACAAGGTCAGGAGACAGAGACCATCCTGACTAATACAGTGAAACCCCGCATCTACTAAAAGTACAAAAAAAAAAAAAATTAGCCAGGTGTGGTGGCACGCAACTGTAGTCCCAGCTACTTGGGA